GAAGTAGGCGTCCTGGAGGTCCAGGGTGGCCATCCAGACGCCCTCCCTGAGTAACGGCAAGATCTGCTGTAGGGACACCATATGGAAACGATGGTAAGTGACGAACCTGTTCAGTTCCCTGAGGTCTAGGATGGGACGAAGACCTCCATCCCTCTTCGGGACAGTGAAATAATGGGAGTAGAACCCCGTGTGGTGGAACTGAAGTGGCACAGGTTCGATGGCCCGTTTTTGCAGAAGGAGGGACACCTCTCTGAGGAGAGGTGGGGAGGGTGGGGTGAGGATAACTGTGGGTGTCAGGGGTAAGCGGTCGAATTGGATCCTGTAGCCGTGGGTTATGATAGATAAAACCCATTCGTCTGAAGTGACGTGGCACCAGGAATGGATGAACGGGTACAGATGGGTTGCTGACTCGGGGACAGGGAAGTCAAAAATTCTGTTTGGACGACTTGCCCTGTTTGTGGAAAAGGCCCAGCCCATCAAAAGGCATGTCTTCCACAGACGTTCGGGTGTCATATGGAAGGGAGGTGGTCCTCAACCAAGCATGACGTCGAAGCGCGACTGCTGACGCCATGGTCTTGGATGAGGCCTCCAGGACATGCTTGGTAGTTGCCAACTGCTGCTTAGCAACCACCATTCCCTCCTTTTGGAAAAGCCTAGCAGCATACAGCTTGTCCTCCGGGAGATGGACTAAAAGGTCAGACAGCTGCTCCCACAGCGTATACTGGTACCTCCCCATACAGGCGAGGTAGTTGGAAGCTTTAACAGCCAACGCTCCAGTAGAATAAAAGCGGCGGCCAAAGGCATCCAACTTTTTCCCTTCCTTGTCAGAAGGGGCAGACTGTGACTTTCTCGACTTAGAGGAGGTCACGACTAAGGAATTGGGCTGAGAATGGGTAAGGAGGAATTCTGCCTCGGTGTGCTGAATTCGGTACATGTGATCCAGCTTCTTACTAGAGACAGGGGCGGACGACGGTTTGTGCCAAGGGGTTTTTGCGGCTTCTAGTAAGACTGACGACATTGGGAGCTCGACGACAGAGGATGTATCAAGCTGGACTATGTCATAAAGGGAATCTG